TCTTCCAGAGTGGAGCCTGTCATCAACTGAACCAGTTATTTGGTATTTTTCAACCACTCTGCTCACTGTGGTGCGATAGCATTTCACTCTCTTGACTTACTTCTGTACAGGAGTAATCCTCTTCATGAAGTATAATGATGCGATGCCGCTGCTCAGTACTGGTGAAAGCAAAGGCCTTCATCCTTGCCCGCAGCTGGAGCTAAATTAGATTTCTCGATGTTTTTCATGCCTATTTATAGTCAAAGAGTAGGACAACATTGATTGGCTCATAGATTTAGCCTCTATGCATTTTGATTGGTCAGCCAAAGTTCGCTGCTGATTGGCTACTTTCGACCCTAACATTCTTGAAAATTCAAGTTGTGTTTGTTTTAGCACACAAACTCACTCAAAACCTTAAAAAGACTTTGGCTATATTAATAAAAATTATGCATCTCAATCCGACTACAGAAATTTTAATCAAAATACAAATTTTGTGGTTTCTATGAGTGAAAAGTTGATTAAACATGTAAATACAGCTTAAAACTGAAAGCGTGCAGGACTTTTTCACACAGCTGTAAGTCTAAGTGCTATTGATAAGTGCTAAAAGTTTGTAGAGATTCTCAGTCATCCAGGTCATGATTGTCTCAAAGGTGCTTTTTCAGGAGGCAACTGGACTTTGTTTTTTCTTTGAAGGGGTTTTTGCTTCTCATCCAAGCTTCTTCAGCTCTGACAGAATATTTGGGAATGGAAGGATTTATATTCCTTGCAGACAGCTGTTCATTTGCATCCTTTTAGAGGGTTGTTGAAGCTCTTGAGAGGTTTATCTCGGTCCTCAGGGTCACCTGCGTAGTGCTCCTGGTTCTTGTAGTCTGCAGGTTTTTTTCCTCTGGAAACCCATTTCTTAACCCCACACCATTCAAAGGGTGTTCATCCCAAACTATATCTAGCTAAAAGTCTGTAGAGATTCTCAGCCATCCAGGTCATGGTTGTCCCAAAGGTGATTTTTTTCAGGAAGCAACTCCATGGACTTATATGCAATCTACATATGCAAAACTGTGATTGAAAGATTAATATAATGTATAAATGATCAATTAACATATAGAAAAATTAATAAATCAATTTTTTAATTTATTTTGAAAGGTATATGGCCACTTCTATTTTATAAACCTATGTATGTATGTATGTATGTATGTATGTATGTATGTATGTAATAAAATACATAAAAATATCACACACCACCAAACGCCATTACACTTATCAGGTCTCCTGAGTAGTGCTCCTGGTTCCTGTTGTCTGCCATTTTTTCTCTGGAAATTCATTCCTACTCCCACACCTTTCATGATGAATGTATTTATGATGACTATGATCATGATTTATCACTTACATCTTTTATGCGCACTGAGAGCTTATGCACCAAAGACAAATTCCTTGTGTGTCCAACGACCCTTGGCCATTAAAGAATTCTATTCTATTTTATTCAAAGGGTGTTCATCCCAAATTGTATAGCTAAAAGCGTCTCAGCTATGATTGTACCAAAGGTGCTTTTTTAGGAGGCAACTGGACTTTGTTTTTTCCTTGTATGCAAGGACTATAAATCTTTCCATTTCCCACTATCCTGTCAGAGCTACGGAAGCTTCTTGGATGAGAAGCGAAACCTCTTCAAAAGACAAAACAAGAACAATACTCGAATACAGTTCATCAGTCTGGAACCCACATTACATATCTGATATTAGCACAATTGAGAAAGTCCAGAAATATTTCACAAGAAGAGTTCTCCACTCCTCTACTCGTTGTAGAATACCTTATGCCACCAGACTTGAAATTCTAGAACTAGAAAACCTTGAATTACGCCGTCTTCGGTCTGATTTAAGCATGGTATATAAAATCATACATTGCAATGTCCTACCTGTCAATGAATACTTCAGCTTCAACCATAACAACACAAGAGCACACAATAGATACAAACTCAAAGTTAACCGCACCAAACTTGATTGCAGGAAATACGACTTCAGCAATAGAGTGGTCAATGTCTGGAATACTCTACCCGACTCTGTAGTTTCTTCCCCAAACCCCAAAAACTTTAACCTTAGACTGTCTACTATTGACCTCACCCCTTTCCTAAGAGGTCTGTAGGGGGTGTGCATAAGCGCACCAACATGCCTACCGTCCCTGTCCTATTGTTTCTCTTATTCTTCTTTTATTTTTCTTATATGTACCCATTTCATGTATTCACAACTATGTATACACTTACACTTATTATCTTGTAAACAATTGGCAAATCAAATAAATAAATAAATAAAACAAGGACTTCCGGTTTGCGAGGCAGGGATTTGTGATCCAGCGTGATCCCTGCCGAGCTCACTGCCAAGGTTCCCCCGATCCATTTGGATCTGGGGGATATAGCTGCCCTGCAGGGGCAGCTGAAGATAGGGGGGATCTGGAAAGGGGATAAGGGGTGTCGCAGACCCCCTCCCTAGCCAGCAAAAACCCCTTTTCCCGAGGCGGAGGAGCGGCGGTCAGCAATGGCCGCCATGAAGAAACCTGCAAACAGATAAGATTGTGCAGGAGGAAGAAAATCGGGGAAATCGTGAGAGTTGTTTCTGGACCGGGATAAAGTTGCCAAGGGATAAGAAAGTTTCCTGGGGCTTGAAAATTGCTACGGAGAAGTTGCTACATTGTTTCCAGAGAGAGTTACAAGCGGCGCACAGAATTCTAAAAGGGAAAGTTTTTTGTTTTTTTTCCTTCACTCTCCTTCCTAACGTGACAGCGGATGGAACAAGAGAAATCTGAAAATCTAGGTAATTAAATACTGAAGAGATAAGGATTTCTGAATGATTATTTTTTTAAAAAGACTTTTAAAAAAATTTTTTTGCTGTGAGTGGGAAGGGAGAGGGAAAAATTGGATTGGAATTTGAAAATAAGGAGAAGACTGCCTGGATTTTTAAAGAGCCATAAATACTAACAAGGCTTCTGAAAGATATATATTAAATGGAACTTTGTGATCAAACTCCAATCCCAGAAAGAGAAAGTGAAGGAGAAAGTGCTTAAAAGAATTAACCTACTTGGATTGCTTGGTGATTTTACCACTTTTGAGAATTATCTCTGATTAAAAGCACTTGGGTGGTTGCTTGGGAAAACTTTTTCTCTTTATAATGGCATTACTTGTGGACAGATTGAAACTTTTATATCAAAAATATGAAAAAGAAAAGCAAGAAGGGAAGGACATTTTTGATACTCTTTTTCAGTATTTAGAAATGGCGGTCTACACTTATGTAAAATTGAATGGACAACAGGACGACTGGGACAAAGAAGAAGCCATTTTTGATGAACAAGTGACTTTGGCTGGGGAAGGAAAGGAGAAAGAGAAAAAGGAAAAAGAGACTTTAAGACCTATAAAAGCAATCAAAAAAGAGAAAAACGAGATGAAAAAGAGATATTATGTTAGAAGACAACAGAAAGGAGGAAAGCAGAGAAAAAGGGAGGTGGAGAGGCAAAGGGGTAAAGAGGACAGAGAGAAGAATAAGCAAGGGAGAAAGGGGACGAGAAGCCTCAATAGTAGAGAGCAAGATGTAAAGAAACAAAGGTTTTTTAGAGATAATGGGTAAACTTTATTGATAAAGGGATTCTAAAGGTACATAAGATTGTTTTTTAGTGAAACTTGTCTTAAGGGGAACATTTTATGAAATAAGGATTTGAGATATGATGTGGGGGGGGGAATAATTGTGGAAAATATAAGCATTCCCAAAAGGCATGTTATTTAATTGAAATGGATAAAATGGTTAAGATATAAAGGAGTTGGAGAGAAAGATACAAATGAATGTCAATATTAATTAGATTGTGTTATTTCAGTGGAATTTTTTTTTTTTTTGAAAGAAGATTTGAAGTAGGAGAAGCAGGAATACCTTAATGAAATAATGATTTAAAATATGTGATGTGGGGGGGAATAATTATGGAAAGTAGGTGCTCCCACAAAAGTATGTTAATTAATTGAAAAGTAATGTGCTAAGTGTTTATGATATAAAAGAATATGAATATTAATGAATAGATTAGTATTGGTATTGATAATATTGTATAATTTTAGAATGTACCAAATAGAATCCCAATGTAAGTTAGGTATTTTATATTAAGTATTATAAATGTAGGGGAAAGAGGTAAAGGCGTCATACTCCAATTAGTGTACAGGAGAAGCTTTTTTTTTTAAAGAAGAAAGATAAATCGATAGCTGGAAATAAACAGACAAAGAATAATAAATATTATGATTTGAATTGAGATGAGATAAATAAAATAAAATTAAGAGAATCTAAGAGAGAAGAAGCTATATAAAAATTGAAAATGGTAATAAGATATGGAATGGCATATAAAATGAATATGAATTTGAGTTGGTGTCTGTACAAAGAGTTTTTGACCCGGGATTAAGCAACTTTCAGAAAAGATGTTTTTTTTTAATGTTTATGTTTTGTGTTCTTATGTGTTTATGTTTGAATGAGCTAATAAAACCTTGGAGAAAGGTTAGAAAAGGACAATGGAGAGAAAGATAGAAGAAAATAAAGCAAGTTAGAAAGGGAAAATATGTGATTGTAAGGAAATGTATTAATGTTGTAAAACTTTCAAATAATTTTTAGAAATTTTTAGAAAAAAGGTTTTATGTTTATCTTGTATGTTTTGTATGCTTTTAAAAATTAATAAAATTTGTTTAAAAAAAAAAAAAAAAAAAAAAGAACGTCCAGTTGCCTCCTTGGGAAAAAAAAAAAAAAAAAAAGCACCTTTGCGATTGTGATTTTCACCTGCTGGGAAATCCGAATCGGCACACCGGCTCCACCGATCCCAGAACACGCCGGTTTAGACAGAGGACCATCCGACCCACCACCCACCACCACCACCACCGCTCGTCGCTTAAGGGCAACGAACCCGCAACCGTCCTAACTACCTTCTTCCTACGCCCGAACTCCACCCCCACTCCCTGTCGTGCTTCTGCCTGCTCCCCCCCGTAATCCCCGCCCTCGTCTTGTGACCTCACTTCCGGTATACGCGCTTGCCGCTTCCGGCGTATGCCTTTGCTGGCTTCAACCGCCTTGCCGCGGGGCTCTGTATTTGCAGCTTTCGCAGTCGAGGGTGAGTCCGGCTTCGTGGCTGAGGGTTGTTGTTTTTTTCCCCTCTTCCCCCCCCCCCCCCCCCCCCCCGCCCGGACGGCTAATAGGTTATCCAGAGAAAGATCCTCCCCCTCCTCTCCTCCGTCGACAGTTATTAGACGAACGGCGCGATAGAGGCTTTGGGGGGGTTCCAACTCTTCCTCTCTTTACGGACTATAGGATGGCCGGGATTTCTGCCGCATTCAGCCCGCTACCGATTGCTTATTTGGGGTAAATGGGGGTTAGGTTGGCAAATAACGATCGTCGGAAGGACGGAACTTCCGATGAGGGTTGGAGAGGGAGAAATTCACTACCCCGAAACCTCGTATTTATACAGTTGGATGAGATGGAGAGCGGGGGGGTGGGAAAAAGGGTCACCTGTTGAATTTCGCTCGCAGCTTGTGAAAGCCAGGAAAGTTCTGGCGGGAGGAAAATAAATAAATAAAAAATAAAACGGGCATCGCGGTTTTTCATCCCTTTCTCTCCCTCTGCCTTGTCTTGCTTTGCAATCTTGATTCCCCTTTTGTTTTAAATAGGAGGGCAAAGGGAAGGGGGCATAACAGGCAGATCTGGCTTTGAAAGACCAGTCATTTTTAGGGGGGGGGAGAGGGGGTTTGCCCTTATTTTTCTCTAATCGGATCTTTTTTTTTTGCTTCCGCAAAAGCTTTGGGGGAAAAAGTGACGGGAATTGTCTCATTATAGAAAAGGAAATTTATTGTTATTATTGGTGTATCCGTGAAATCACACACTGTGGAATCTAAGCTGGAAGGGAAAGTATGGTATAGAGTAAATGGTTGCATGTAGCGTGATACATGCTTTTAAATGTTCTTAGGGAGGAAATAAAAGTCATTTAAAAAAAAAATACATAAATATAAATAAAAAATAAAAAGTAAAAAACATATTAAAACTTATGAAAAAAGTATCCCAATTGAACATGTTAAACTAAGGTAGTACAAATCACAGAAGAATAAACAATGCATTAAATCAATATTGAAAATTACTGTTCAATTAGAAATATGATTCTGTGGAAAAGTTGGATATGGCACAATACTATACGCATTATCTAAGAGAAAAGCCTGTTCTTAATGGAACGAGTAGTCTGTAAATATCCTGTTTAGTTTAAACTTTCAAAAAATATTGGAAAACATACATACTTCTATGACAGGCCCAATGAAAGATTTCTTAAGTGGTTTTAGAAAAAATGGCTACATCAGCATTTATTTGAAAAAAAAATAGATTTCTGTCTGAGGCTCAGTTGGCCTTAGATTATTATAAGTGCTTCTTATGTCAGCGTTACTGGCCAGTAATACTGTGCAAATCCTTCTAAAGAGTCACTGCAATAGACAGGAATCTGAATAAAGCACTTTGCTTCAAAACAATAAAATAGCCACACCTTTTCCCAGATATGTGGAAAAAGCCAACAGCAGCATACAGAGCAATCATGTAAACATGGGAAAAGATACAGCTGCAATACTGAAACAAAGAGAGGGGCTCTTTGTACATTGTAACAACACTGGCCAGTTTCCTATTGATCAGAACATGTATAATCATTCCCATGTGTTAAAAAGAACAAAAAACAGATCTGGACAATCTTGCAAGTTTGAGGTGCATGACTGCTAAATTTGAGATTTCAATTTTGTTTTTTAAAAATGAGCTTGAACGTGTATAGTTTCTCACTAGATCACATTTTTCTTTACTTATTTCCAATAATGCTTAAAAAAAAACCTACTTTCCTATCTGAATTCTGCCTTTGTTGATTTGAAAGAACTCTTTCTTGGTATTCACAGATATATACATAGGAATAAATCCTGAGGTCAACTTATAATTGCCAATCTTATTCTATGGCTGACTCCACTAATTAGGTGCTTCCATAAGTTTAAAATAAAGAGGTGAAATGTATGGCTGCTTTCCCACCATTGCCATTTCCCTTGGAGTCGCCCCACTTTTCCAAAGCAGAGTTTCTAGGAGTAAGGCATTACAAAAAATAGATGACAAATTCATGGCAATTGCCTTCTTCTTTCAAACTTTGGAGGATCTTGTCATAGGGTTCTACTTTTTGTTATGTTGATATCAATGTTTATTCTATTTTTAAAGCTATTTAATTATTGACTTAATTAACTATTAAAACTAAGTTGGTGTTTAAATGAGGCCCTTATTTAGGATGCTGAATTCAGAATTATATTGGCTAGCCTGAATAACTCGGAAAGTTGGCGGTTTTGTGACATTGCGTAGTGCCGTTCAAATAGCAAATGTCCCTTGTACTTAAATAAGTATTTTCCATTTGTGTTGGAGCACTTTGAATCTTAGTTTCTTTTTTTCCCTTTCCCTTTAGCAATAATGGATGAAGTTGTATCTAACTCTTCAGAGAAACTTATAGCAATCCACTCCAAGGTTCACAGAGACACTATCCTGATTAAATTTGAGGAACAGAGAAAAAAAGATTTTTTGTGTGACATCACTTTAATTGTAGAAAATGTTCAGTTTAGAGCCCATAAGGCATTACTTGCTGCCAGCAGTGAATATTTCTCCATGATGTTCGTTGAAGAGGGCGAGATTGGTCAATCAATCTACATGCTGGAAGGGATGGTGGCAGATGCTTTTGGTGTGCTATTGGAATTTATTTACACAGGCTGCCTACAAGCTAGTGAAAAAAGTATAGAACAAATTTTAGCAACTGCTCATCTCCTCAAAGTGAATGATCTAGTTAGAGCGTATACAGAGCAAGAGAGGAACTGCAGCTTAACAAACACATTATCTGGAATTTCTAATGGTGAAACCCCAATAGCTGTCTTAGCAAAGAACAAGAAAAGTGAAGACCCACCAAGGCGAAAGCGTGGAAGACCAAGAAAAGTAAAGAACATCCAGGAAGAAAAACTGGACTCCCTTTCATCAGAAGATGTGCAATTAAAAGAGAACAACTCAGTACATAATAAGCAAAATTTTATAAAGCGGGAGGCTGTGGTAGAAGACAGAAACACCAATGAACTCATTCCTGTAAGTGTAGAGGGAAGAGAAATATGTAGGACAGAAGCTGTGGTCACTGTCTCAACAGAAAAGGATGAGAACTATGATCCTAAGTGCCAAAATACACAGATCACTCAGAGTCGTTATAGCAAACGTAGGATACGGCGGTCAATCAAGTTAAAAGATTATAAACTTATTGGTGATGAAGAAGACAGTGGGCTGTCAAAAAGGGCCAATGGCAGAAGAAAACGTACTGGTTCTGAAGTTGAGTGCAAAGACTGTGGGAAAGTCTTTAAATATAATCATTTTTTAGCTATACACCGAAGAAGTCATACAGGTCAGTTCTCTTTTCAGTCTTAGGGGAAAATATTATATGCAATCTACATATGCAAAACTGTGATTGAAAGATTAATATAATGTATAAAGGATTAATTAATATATGGAAAAATGAATAAATCAAAAAAAAATATTTTTAAAGGTATATGGCCACTTGTATTTTATAAAATAACCTAGATGGCTTACTATCAGATATATAAGTAATAAAATACATAAGGTTAAAAAATATTACACACCACCAAACACCATAGCACTTATTAGGTTTCCTGAGTAGTGCTCCTGGTTCCTGTTTGCCATTTTTTCTCTGGAAATACCTTCCTACTCCCACACTATTCATGATGAATATATTCATGATAACTGTGATCATGATTTATCACTTATATCTTTTATGCGCACTGAGAGCTTATGCACCGAAGACGAATTCCTTGTGTGTTCAATCACACTTGGCCATTAAAGAATTCTATTCTATTCTATTGATAGGGTGTTCATCCCAAATTGTATAGCTAAAAGTCTATAGAGATCCTCAGCCATCCAGGTCATGATTGTCCCAAAGGTGCTTTTTTAGGACTTTCTTGTTTTTTCCTTGTCTGCAAGGAATAAAAATCCTTCCATTCCCTACTTTCCTGTCAGAGCTAAAGAAGCTTCTTGGATGAGAAGCAACACGTCTTCAAAAGAAAAAACAAGAAAGTCCAGTTGCCTCCTGAAAAAGCACCTTTGGGATTGCTAAGTGCTATTGCTATCTTCACCTGCTGGGAAATCCAAATCGGCACACCGGATCCTCCAATCCCAGAACACGCCGACTTGTCCTAAAATCCTCAAGTGAATGATGGGAGACTATCTCTGTGCATCTACTCATGGATTCACATGAGTAATTAGCTTATGTAGTTCTGCGTTGTAAATTAGGAATCCCTGTGGTTCTACATTTCAATACAGCCTCCAAAAAGGAACACTTTTGTTTTCTTAGTTTGTCTGTCTTCCTTTGTTTAAGACACCAGCATAGAAGCGAGACGAGGGGTCTAGTATCAACTTAGGCCTGAAGCCAGCTGGGTGACTTGGGCAAGTGAATCTCTCTCAGCCTAACCCACCTTATAGGATTGTTGTGGCAAAAATGGGAGAAGGAAAGAATAATTAGCTATCTTCCTGGACTACAGCTATTTATATAATTCAGCCGAATATAAAGTTGGGTGTTCCTAGAATTAAAATTATTAAAATTGCCCTTTTGTATAAACAATCACTTTACCATCAACATTGCTGCCTTTGTAGTATTTTCAAACTGTAGTGGTATTGAAAAATTACTTCGGCTTTAAATTAAATGATGCACATTGTTATTTCAAGCATTGCTCCATCTGCTTGAAATGTCTGTTTCCCATTCACAGTGCCCTACCTTTGTTTTCAGGAGAGCGCCCATTCAAATGCAGTGAGTGTGGCAAAGGCTTTTCCCAAAAGCACTCTCTCCAAGTCCACGAGCGGATGCACACTGGGGAACGTCCATATACTTGCACAGTTTGCAATAAGGCTTTAACCACAAAACATTCTCTCCTGGAACACATGAGTCTTCATACAGGTAAGATGAAAAGCCATTCACTAGGCTGAAATTGTAACGTGAAAAAAATAATAATACCTGGCTAGATTCGAATGAGCATACCTGCATTATTTCAGTAACAGAATGTTTTGACATTTCTGAGAACTCGTTTTAGGAATCGGAAATTATAGCTGATCCCAATATTTTATCCTTAGTGTCTGTGGTTTTTTTATATGATATATTTCTCTAGTTCATAGGGGCTACATTAATCCATAAGACTAGATCTTTCCATTCAATTATAGAAAGCTTTTTTATAGTTCCTGATTTCTCCCTGTGGAATAAATTCTATGTCACTTTCATGTTTATGGTAGAAGTCCCGAGTGTGTTTTTCTTTGAATAAGGTACAATGGATATAGCACCCATAATCCACTGGTATTCAAGGCCTTACTGCCATTCTTGTTCCAAGAACAAGACGAGAAATTCCTCCTCCATCTTCTAACTACTACATACTCTTAAAGTCAATTAACAGAGACAAGTAATAAGAATGTGGTAGTGGCTGCAGAAATGAGGTAAATAGAAATCTGCTTATCTAATGTTCTGTAAAATGAAAGTCCAGGTACAAAATGTGAAATACTATCAAGTAGTCCTGAGAAAATGTTTCATTTTCCAGTATTTGCTATTTCTGTAAATCCGTAAATCCTGTATTCATTCATAGTCCCTCTGATTTACATGAATGATGTCTCTGCCTGCTTAATAGCCTATAATTTTGGTATCCTCTTGTTTAGTTAATATGATTTTACTAAAGTACTTCATCTCATAAACTTGTGAAGTTACTCCATGGCTTCATCAGTGGCATTTCCGAGAGATAAGAGCCATGGTGGCACAGTGGTATTGTAGGCTACTTCTGCTGATTGCCGGCTGGCTGTCGGCAGTTCAATTTTCAGCAGCTCAAGGTTAACTCAGCCTTCCCTCCTTCTGAGGTCAGTAAAATGAGGACCCTGATTGTTGGGGGCAATATGCTCACTCTGTAAACCGCTTAGAGAGGGCTATAAAGCATTGTGAAGTGGTATATAAGTCTAAGTTCTATTGCTATTTCTTTTGCAGCCATTTGCCAGAGAGTTCATTAGTCTCAGCTTTTCTCCAGGTGGTTAATGATGGCAATTGTGACTGGAATTTTCATTGCTAAGCAATGTGGTCGTAAAGCGCAATGTAAAATGACTGCATCATTTAACAACAGCAGTTTTGGCACTTCCCAGTTGCCATCATTAAGTGAATCATCATAAGTTGATAAGCAAAGGCAACTTAGGTTAAGCCATTTGCAAGTTCCCGCCGGCTTTCCCACTTACTTTGTAGGAATCTGGTAAAGAAGGTTGCAAATGATGACCCTTGGATGCTTCTACTACTTGCTACTATGCTTTGTTGAATGGCATTTGAGAATTTATACAACCAGTCCATTCATCCTACCTGCGACCTTGATTTCAACCTTTTGTGGCAGTCCTGAGAACAGGGTTTGGGATGATACCCTACTTTGTAATGGGCAGGGTTCTTCTCAGAATTCCCTGCGCTCTGGAATATTTCAACTGAGTTGCTATGCAAGATCAGAATAAACTAGGTGTGATTTCACAGATGGCGGCTCAGATTACCATAAGTACAAATAAATAATTCTGTTTTCCCCCTCTTTCTTTTCAGGTCAGAAGGCTTTTACCTGCGACCAGTGTGGAAAATACTTCAGCCAGAGAAGGCAACTTAAAAGTCACTATAGAGTTCACACAGGTTTGATGAATTAAAGAATACTGCAAGTTGTTAGGAATGTTGAGGTTTTCTTGTAGTTTTAATTATGTATTCATAACCGATAGGTACATGTTTGTCTCCTGTGCATTTCATGAATGTTTCTGCACATTGTTAGTTCCATCTGATCATTTTGCAGAATTATTATATAATGTGATAATACAGAAAATTAAAATATTCTGTGTTTGAGAAGTTGGGGATATCTTCTGCTGAAAATGCACAATTGAAAGGAAGCAATTCATAATAAGCTAAAAATTGTGAAGATACTGTGATTGATTGTAGAGATAGTAATGGGATAATTCCTGCATATGAAGAAGCAAGAAAAATAGAGTTGCTTGTGGAACAGTTGCTGTGGTGAATTCAGTTGCTTGTGGAACAGTTGCTGTGGTGCCAGTTCGCTTAACTTTGGCATTATTGTGTTCTAATACAAGCTTGTTTCATTAATGTAATAGTTTAGTTATTAAGATTATATTGAACAAAGTATAATCACAGATGTATTGATGAGCAACAACTAGAAGAATACAGAGACACGTGCAATAGGAGTCATCTGCTGATACAACAGTATCTGTTACCATAAGAGATTCCTCCTTCATCCCTCATACACCTCCCAAATCTGGTAGAAATTGGAGTACATGTGGAAGAAAAGTAGAGAAATCCACCATGCAAGCAGAAGTCATAGCATTTGATGGAACCGTTATCCCATGTTTTAATTTTCTAAATATTCTCTATAATGCTTACATCAATTGTGGCATTACTTTGGTTGCAGTTGTATTAGAATTGTAAACTTCATGCTTTTATTATTATTAGCCATCAACATGTTAAGATAAACATTATAAATGAAATAGACACACTTGGAGAAAAAATAATACTTTATTTTTCATTTTACAAAATCAGGCCATTCATTGCCAGAATGCATCCTCTGTCATCGTAAATTCATGGATACCGCTCAATTAAAGAAACATTTAAGAACACATACAGGTAATGCTGCTTTCTATTATTTTCTGAAAAAAGCTGGCAGTATATATAATTTAGGTAGGAACATTCAAGTAAGCAGCATTCATCTGTAGATAATAAATGAGCTTATAATGGAGTCTAATCTTTAACATTGAATCTATGTGGTGCTGAATCAATACTGTGCAACGTTTACAGTAAAAGAATTGGTAGGGGCTATTAAGGTCATGGACTATAGCTGCCATATTAGGCAGTCCTCTGGAGTTTTGCACCCAGTATGGGAGTCCTACTGCTGGTTTCAATCGGATACTTCAGTACATTCAGTGAAGGCCAACTTATTACCCTTGAATAATTGGTTTCCACTGTCAAAATTGCTGCTACTGTTCAAGAATTTTTAGCTGGTAGGAAATAGAACTGATTTTTTATCAGAAGGCAAATGATTATGACTGAAAACCATGAGCAGATTATTAAAAAGAAATAAAATCAATATCCATTTTGTGTATAATTTTACATTAAAATATGAGTATATTTCATAATCTTTTCCCCCTAATTTTTTAGGGTAGGAGCATTTAAAGAAGACTGAAGAGAAAAACATTGTCCTCCAAAATTTTCTCAGTATTTTCTTGTATGTCCATATCTCTATTCATTATGTATTCACCCTAATAGCTATGAATTAGCATGAGATTTGGTTGTGACATTCGTTAGAGTCTATACATAAGTCAGACTCTTTTAATTGTTCTTTAAATAAGAGATAATTACATACTATACTAATCAGCAAGTTTTTATAGGTGAAAAGCCATTTACTTGTGAAATCTGTGGCAAGTCATTTACAGCAAAAAGTTCTCTTCAGACCCATATCAGAATTCACAGGTATCTCCTTCCCTTTTTTTTCTTCGTGATTTCGTATGGAAACCAGTTTATAGGAAATATTTTGAGTGAGGCTATTAATACAATTTTATTATCTGCTGCAATTACAGATCATAGTTTGTAAATTCAGTTCATGTTGTGTTGTATGCTGACAATTTTAATTGTCGGCACCATGGGTAGACAACCTTTTGGCTTGCCTGGGCCACGTTGAGTGAAGAGAAATTGTCATAGCCTCATATATAAAATATATAACACAGTTTTGTAATATAAAAATCACATGTTAAAAATTTATGGTCTAGCTGGGCCTCATTACTAGCTGCCCAAGGCTACATGTGGCCCGTGGGCTGGTCATGCCTGGTCTATGCTATTGTGAATATTTAAACAAATTATTTTTAATCACTGGTGCACATTATATTTAGTCTTCAGTCCAAAGCTAATGAGCACTGTCACATTATTGAATATATATTGTCCAAAAAAAACCACCCCAATGACCTCTATTGGGTCCTGCTTTAAATGAACCAACTACGTTGAGGCATCATGAACAACAACAGGATTTTAGAGTGTTTCATTCTATCATACAGTAATGATTTATACTGCATGATAAGAAAGTAAGATGCCTTCCATTGACTTTATCACTTACCTGAGTAAGTGTACTTCATAGGAAGGGGGGGAGAGAGAATCCATCTGCCATTCAGTTTTAATGATGTGATATTTGAGTAATGCTTTGGATTTTTAATAACATCCATGCTTCGCAAAATATGGACATATGTGATCAAACCAGATGTCTTTTCTTTCAGAGGAGAAAAGCCATATTCGTGTAGTATTTGTGGAAAATCCTTTTCCGATTCCAGCGCCAAAAGGAGACATTGTATCTTGCACACCGGCAAAAAACCTTTCTCTTGTTCAGAGTGTTGTGTGCAGTTTGCGCGTTTAGACAATTTGAAATCTCATTTGAAAATCCATATCAAAGAGAAACAGCTACAGGAAGCCAACGCTGCATCCAGCAGCAGCAGCACAGAGGACGTCAGGAACGTTCTTCAGCTGCAGCAGTATCAACTCTCTACCTCTGAACCCCAGGAGATCCAGCTGTTGGTGACAGATTCAGTGCACAACATAAACTTTGTGCCCAGCCATAATCAAGGCATTAGCGTTGTCACTTCAGATGATTCCCAAAATGTGATGACAGAGCACACAGGCAGCCTTACTCTTCTCACTCAGCCATCACAGCAGCTGCAGAACCTGCTGCTTTCAGGCCCAACAGAACCCACAGACCAGATTCAGAATATCAGCATTGTGAGTGACCCAATGGATTCTCCCCAGACTGAACAAATGCATGTCATCACGCTGTCCAAAGAAGCTCTGGAACATCTCCATGCCAATCAGAGTCAAGCAGATGTGCTTCAAATAGCTGCTGGAACACCACATCCAACCTCGCATCTGCAGATGGGCCAAGAGCCTAGCCAACAGTTTCGCATTAGCCAAGATACAATTCTACCTCCTCAAATTAGCAAGGGACAGACCCAAACTGTACATATCTCCAATTCAGCATAACAGCCTCTAACTGTAGACCAGCCATCTGGAGACCGTCACACCGAAGGGCAGGCTTTTTAAAATACAGACTGATTTCCTTCTTAGATATATTTATTTATCAAGATGAAAGAAGATCCTTCATGTGAAATGCATTCTATACACAGTATTTAATTTCACATGCTGGTAACATGGATTGTTGGCTTAACGGCAATTGGTTTATGCATTTTTATTTTGCAGATTTATCCATTTAAATATATGTTGAAAGCATGGCTTTTAAACCAGTGTACTCATGCATTTTGCCTGAACTGCAATAAAATATTAAAAGAACATGGTACAAGCCTGCTTATACATTTTGCCATCTCATTTATTTCAGTGAGAAAGAACAATGCATGCTTAATTTTTCCACTGAAAATGATGGGATGTAAAATTGCCTCTGAATGGACGTACATTGTATATATTTAATAAGCCTATCAACTGATTATATAGTTTGGGTGAAACCAAGCTGATGTTTGGATTTTTTAAAAAAATGGATCAGTCTGTTTGTGTCAGTTAAGACTTTGTGCGAGTCAGTTTTATTAGAAGATTTCTACAAGCATAGGTAAACCAAGACTTGAGGAACTTTTGCAACTTTTTGCAAAAGTAAATTTATAATTTCAAAAGATAGAAAAAAATAAAAGTTACATCTCCAAACAGATGAGCATAGGCTCTCCTAAATAATGATAACAGGCTTAACAAACTATTGCCTTGTTTTGGTTATGTTTCCATTAGCTTTTTTTTTTTTTAATTTATGCACATCAGCTCAATGCTTGACTTCCCCAGACTTAACTGACACAAATCAATTCTGGTATTGGCTTATCAGAGCAAACATGGGCATTGTGATTTCTCCTTTCTCTGTACTTTTTATATTCTGGTGAATAAGCCGTATATATGCATTCCTATAATAAAAATTATAAAAAATGATTGTTTCCCATTATAGCTACAAGAACATTTGTAGTTCTAGTTTTTAAGCTAGAATCAAACTGACAGATAGAGTATAAAGGCTTTATGCTTGAGCCGATAAACCATTGACCAAAATCATTAGCCCTGAAGTAGTCTAGGAATAGGAAGAGAGAGCAAACTTTCTCTTTAAGGAATTGCAGTGTGATGGACATCCATACTCAGATGTGCACTAACCCTTCCATTCTTCCTTTCCTCATACTGCATAAAGTACAATATGGATTCTACTAAATATTGGAAAGCTTCATTGTAATCAATGAACACTTGTTGGCAATGAAACCTTACAGATTACTTCAGCATCTGTAATGCAGAACAGGATGAAACGAAGGTGCTAAGAGTTTGTACATGGGAGAGAGGGTACCCATTCTTCCCTCGGTTAAGTTGATTGAGGTTTTTATCAATCTGTTGTTTTAAAAAGGTCAGTGTCTTAAGACCAATTGAATGATCTAGTGAAGATAATTAACTATGAAGGTTTGCATATGGAAAAAAATATATATCAGGAGGGGAAAAAAATAACAAAAGATGTATAATAATTAAAAATAATTCTGCTCTAAATGATTAAATTGTGCCCTCAGCTAAATGTTTAAAATATAATGCTTCTTTATGTAAGATAAGGCTATAGTGCTTTTAAAATAAACACAATGCATACATTAATCCTTCTGGGAAAAATTTTTCTTCCACGATTTATCTGTGTGTTACAAACTTTTCCTTTTGTCAGAAATGTATTCCTTACAGGTCAAACCTATGCTTCTGCGGTATAAATAACAGCAAAGTACATATGCAATTGTTTATATGTGTGTGTTTGTGTGTGTATGTATATGTATGTGTATGTATATGTACACACACAAATATAATTGCAATAATCATATGTGCAAATATAAAAATATATTTCAACTGTTTCCCCATGTGCCCAAATGATAATTTGAGATTATATTTAAATGCTGTCACAAAATAGCAGCCATGATGGATATGACCTGTCACAAATACCCTATTAACAGTGACAAATTTTTGAGGATGCTTTCTAGGACTCCCTGTAGCCTTCCCAAATCATTCCCAGCACCCTTATTTTTCTGGGGTAAAGGTAGGCATATTTAAATACAAGGCTCTCACCATACCACAAGGTAACTTCCTGAAACATGTTTCTGTCTCAATTATTCCTGCATTTCATTTTCAGATCCTTTTGCATTTCAGTCAATTATTTGAGGCTGCTGGGGAGAATGAACCATATTTCTCTTCTCGGCTCAGTTTCCAGCTTCTACCTTTTGTTTATTTTTTGAAGAAAAACATTAACTAGCAGAAAAAGAGTGATTGAATAATTGCCCTGCCTATGTGTTCCCAAACCATGCCTCCATTAACCTGAATGTCAAATGTTGGTTGAGCAGTTATCAATAAATGTAAATTAGGGTTTGCCTCCCCATTCCTTACTGTAGGAACCAGTTTGGCTTTTGGGAGTTACCTCTAACTATCAATAAAAACAAAACTGATTTCCTGAATTGTAAACATATGTAGGATATCCTGTTTTACTTGGGAATACAGTACATTTCTGTATCTTTTCAGTATTGCACAACAACCGTTGAAATATTTACCTCTGTTTCCCACATTATCAATTTCTCCCTTAAAATTTATCTGGCTGTCAACATCATCTGGTGTCTGCAAATTTCACAGGAACGAAATGGCTGTCATTAGGATCCCTAAGGAATTGAAAATTCTTAGGTAAAACAACATGACAAAACAGAAAAGCTTCTACACAATTTCATTAAGACCCCCATGCTAGATATTCCTTACCTGGTGGTGAGATCTACTCTATACAGTCTTGAATGAATGAGAATAACAAGAAGAAAAAAAGGACAAATCTTGAAACAGACTGCAGAACAACCGTCTGCAAGCCAAGCATATTTCTAGATCACAGGGTGATAGTATCTGAGAAGCTGCAATAGAAGTGGGTATAGATGGCAAACAGTTGTCAGTCTACACTGGAAAATATTCCAGTCTCATTACTGTACAGGTAGTCCTTGGTTTACAACAATTCATTTAGTGACCAAGGTTACAATGGCACTAAAAACAGTAACCATTTTTCACATTTATGACTATTGCAGCATTCTCATGTCACATTATCAAAATCCAGATGCTTGGCAACTGACTCACTGCAGTGTCCTGGGGTCGTGATCGTTTGCGACCTTCTGACAAGCAAGGTCAATAAGGAAGTTAGTTTCACTTAACAACTGTTATTCAACTGCAGTGAATCACTTAGCAACTGGTAAGAAAGTTTGTAAAATGGGGCAAAACTCACTTAACAAATGTCTCACTCAACAACATAAATTTTGGGCTCAGTTGTGGTTGTTACCAGAATTTGAGGCACCACCAATGCACCTTAAAAATTAGGTTTGGCTCATCTGTAAGCATATATGTTAATATATGTAGATAAGCAGACCTCCAAAAATACCATGAAAAATGTGATTCAGCTTATCTGTGAGTATATATGGTATTTTGATCTTGTTTATGCTACACTGGAGAGATGGAGTCTTTCCAAATACTACTTCCTTACTTAACTGCTGGAGCTATGAAAAAGTGTTACTGGGTCTGTATTCTAGTATTTCATTATCCCAGATAGTAAGGACTGCTTTTCAGGTCAGAATAAACTCATAAAGCAATGCATCATTTTGTTATCACATGCAGTCAATGATTGATCTAATTTCGGTATATAACAATTACTTATATACATACTAAATTTATCATGTTTTCTCAATGATTAACTTTAAGCTCTGTTCTTATGCATGTGACATTATCTTACGTGCTGTTTCTATCAGCGGAATTTATTTAATCCGGCAAGAATTAATCTGTTTAACTTTATTAATCAGAGAACAAAGAAATTGGCCTTTAGCAAAGCCCACCACCAATCCAAAAGCACTTTATGTTATTATCGAGATTTTAATCAGATGTTATCATCTGTGTACATTAATTCTACAAGGCACCACTAATCAATCTGTACTATTTAAATAATTCCCTCAAAAAACACAAATGTACAGGCAAGAAAAGTATAAGAAGTATGTTGGTTTCTTATGTTCAGTGAACCAACACATCACTATCTCATTACAATGTTTCATTGGAAAAATCAACATTCTGGGTTTATAATAACAGTTATCAGATTTAAACGTCCCTCCACACTGACCATTTGGGTTTCATGTTGCAGTAGATAAAGGGAAAGTTTGCTGAAACTCAACTGCTGGCTGGCAGAACTCCCAGCTGGAGAGAACGGCAGCACCTGATTGGAGTTGCTATGGTGAGGAGACGTGTTGATTTTTCTCTGGCTGCTGCTTGAGAAGAAGTGGAGCAGCTGAAAAGCAAAGAGAAGAGAGAGGAAAACTTTGTGGGCAATGTGGTCGAAAAGCCCATGTGTTCAGTCCATAAAGCTTCAAGAAGTGGAGGTGGTGGGCCTGCTCACCGAACCTTCCTTTCACATGGCAGCACACGCAGTGGAGGTAATTCCCAGGGCCCAGGTCCTTCTTGCAGATTCACTGCTCACATCTTTGGGAATGACTTCTCTTTTCCTTGTTGCTCTTTTTGTTGATAACGTTGCCCCTGAGTTCTTCAGACCGCAAACGTGGTATTGCAAAGGCTCAACGAACGGTAGATTTTTCCAGAACAGAATGGTTGGTTGAGCTCAAGATTTAAATGTGTTATAAGAAGTAATGAGTGGAAAGCTAGTTAAAGTGAGATCCAACCTAGAAGTAAGGAAAAATTTCTGGACAGTGAGAACAATTGATCAATGGAATAGCTTGCTTCTTGGAGTTGTAGGTGCACCATCACTGGAGGTTTTCCAAAATAGACTGGACAACCATTTGACTGGGATAGTATAAGGTATCCTGCCTTAAGAAGGTTGGACTAGATCTTTGTGGTTATATGTTTCTTTGAGCCATATGTTTCTATGTTCTGTGCTGTCAGTATGAATTATAAGGTAGAGTTTTGTAACTAAAAAAATAATGCCTCTGACAAACTGTCCGTTCCTATGTTTCTCTTGCCTTCTGTAGCAGCTAATTAACTTATAAAATAAATAAGTATAAAATAAAACAATTTTTCTTCACTTAATAAATGACAGAAATAAATCTGATGGAGAAAAACCTCCCCCAAGTTGACTTTTTTCCAAATGTTTAGTTCAATTGCTGAAAATCTTTGCAGATGTAGAGAAATGGAGAATGTCACTCTAGGAGGGAATTATGTCTGCAAGAAAAGTGCTCTACTAAGAATATTTATTATTATTCTTAGTATCCAATGTCAACTCACACATTATTATGAAAAACCAAGAATTAATTAGATGGGTAGACTAAAAAGATGTTAACCAATTAAATTCACTGATGGAATGCCTTCTTCATTGACTGTGGAGGAGGCATCTATCCTGCAATCTCTCATCTCCTTTAAAGAGTTGGGAGAGCTACAAAGAAAAGGAAGTAAGGATGGAGGAGAGCTACTATGAACAAAATGGCTAATCCAAAGTGACGGGAGGGGTAACTAAAATTTGACATGTATCAAAATCTCCTGAGTAGATTTTTCTGTGAAAGGATATTGACCTTAATTCAGATACTTAGTTCTGATGCTACATCATAAATATCTGTCAGTTCATTGCACATACTTTCTAGATTGTGAAATACAATGAAATACCATATATTGTAGAGAGAGGTGGAAGCTAACTAAGGACTATTCAGTTGAACTGATGCTTGATGAAAAACATAAATTTATTGATTTGCAAGTCTCATCTCACTGCTACTACTCTATTGCTTAAGCTGTTTAGCCATTTTACTCTTGTATAATAAATGCACAAGAAATTGACATCTTATCATTAACAAGATAAAACTCTTGCATGACATATGACATGGAAGTAAAGTTATATAAATTCCTCTCTTATAGGTGATCCCAAAAGATTACCACTTAAGTAACTTATATGAACTGCTATATGATAATAATGGTTATGTGTATTTTAGGAGCACCATTATAAAATATAAAACATAGTGTTTAAAACTTTTCTCTTGCATATTTAGACCCTTAGGAGAAATTTCCCCAAGAAGATAGCTGAGCCTAAAGTACTTCCTTTATTGCAGTTTGCATGGGATGAATATCTACAAGAAAAAAAGAAGGTATATTTTAATTTCTGGCTATATTTTTGCAATATGCTTATCTATAACTACTTTTATTATTCCAGTTTCAGAGTTTGCACACCACACTGACCTGCAAAGTAATTACACTGATTGGTTTGTACCACATGGTAGACTAAAGTATAGTTGGCTAATTTCTGATTGTATGACTTCTATTTCCAAATCAGGACACATTAGCCTAAATTAAGGGAAAGCAGTTTGTTTGAGCTCTAACAGTATAGCATATTATACTAAATTATGATTTGTCTAATAAGCCACATTTGACAAATGCCTTATTCTGTGCTTTGTTGTAAGCTGGAATTCCACAATAAAATGATCCAGAAAGAA